AGAGGCAGGAGCACAAGGTGGGCGCGGGGGCGACAGATTGTTGTCACAGCCTGGGGACATGCGGGCATGATGGGGGTGGTCCCTGGTCTGAACCCCTCCGTGGGGCGGTCGGTCGGACGGACGGACGGACGGGGAGCAGCCGGGCACGGCCTCCGCGAACCTAATCTCCGGACCTCGGGCTGTAAATAATTGAAGCCCGGCAACCGGCATCCGGACACGTCAAAATGTTAGCTTCAAGGATGTCTTCACCTTTCCATCCTGGTCTCAGCCATGCACGCCCCCCCTGCCCACCGTTATTCACATAGAATAGACAGCAGTTGAGCCCTTGCTGGTGTGGCTCAGTGGATAGAGGGTCGGCCTGCAGACTGAGGGTCCCGGGTTCCACTCAGGTCAGGGCACACGCCCGGGGTGCGGGCTTGATCCCCAGTGTGGGGCGTGCAGGAGGCAGCCGATCCATGATTCTCTCTCATCATGGATGTTTGTCTCTCTCTCTCTCTCTCTTTCTCTCTCTCTCTCTCTCCCTCTTCCTTCCTCTCTGACATCAATAAGGATATATACACGGAGCGGCCAGATGATGATGAACTCTGAACGCATAATAAAATGGCCGCTCAGTGTGTGTGTGTGTGTGTGTGTGTGAGTGTGTGTGTATGTATGTATCAGAGGCCTGGTGCATGAATGCGTGCATGGGTGGGGTCCGGCCAGCCTGGCCAGGAGGAGCGGACATGGCCAGTTGGCCGGTCTGCCCGCTGGTCAAACTCCTGGGTCGAGGGGACAATGTGCCTATGAGCCTTTTATTCTATAGGATGCACACGGAGTGGCCAGATGACGATGCGCTCAGAGCTCATCATCCTCATCTGGCCGCTCCGTGTATATTTTAAGAAAACCCGGCATGTGAGAAGGGGACGCTCAGGTCACGGAGGACAGCGGGGAGCCGAGGTGCTGAGGCAGCATCCCGCGGTGACTCCTGGTAACTTAGCAAACCTCACACCGCGCGGAGAGAGCCACTCAGAAGGTCACGGTGCGGTTCCCGGTCAGGGCCAGTGCCAGGAGGGCCGGCTCCATCCCCGATGGTGCAGGAGGCAGCCTGTCCATGAGTCTCTCTCCTCATGCATGTTTCTCTCTCTCTCTCCTTCTCCCTTCTTCTCTGACACCAATAAAGATATCATTTAAAATAAAGACATAGCCCTAACCGGTGTGGCTCAGTGGATAGAGCGTCGGCCTGCGGGCTGAAGGGTCCCAGGTTCGATTCCGGTCAAGGGCATGGACCTTGGTTGTGGGCACATCCTCAGTAGGGGGTGTGCAGGAGGCAGCTGGTCGATGTTTCTCTCTCATCGATGTTTCTAACTCTCTATCTTCCTCTGTAAAAAAAAATCAATATATGAAAAATAAAGAAATAAATAAACAAATAAATGCCGGTGTTCCGTGTCTGACGTGACCCAAGCAATCTCTCTTTACGGTAAGCATCGACCCCATTTCACAGACCAGCAAAGGGAAAGACACCCTAGAGGGACACAGACAAGCCCCCTGAGGGTCAGATTCCTGCTCAGGGTGAGAATGACCCCCTGTTCTTTCAGAGGGGGTCCCTCTGCACCCCCCATTCCCCCATGACCCCCTTTCCATCGACCCCATTTCACAGACCAGCAAAGGGAAAGACACCCTAAAGGGTCACAGACAAGCCCCCTGAGGGTCAGATTCCTGCTCAGGGCAAGAATGACCCCCTGTTCTTTCAGAATGGGTCCCTCTGCACCCCCCATTCCCCCATGACCCCCTCTGACCTCGTGTCAGGGCCAAAGCCCTTCCACCGGCTCTGAGGACAACCCCACGCACGGACAAAAGAGGTCAGAGCACAACCGGAATCGGGACGACGGGTGCGTGGAGGAAGGCGGGGTACCCCCAAAGGCGCAGCTTCTGGATGGGGACCGCGGCTGGGGCCACGGAGGAACTGCAGGCGTCAGTGCCTCCTGGGTTCGGCTGCAGTGGGATCGGATGACGTCCCTGCAGAGTCCCCGTGCCCTCTGACTGTGCCAGTCACCTGAAACCCTGCAGTGACGGGTCCAAACACCGGCATCTCCCCGTGTGCCACCCCCACCGCCCACAGAACCCCCTGACCCCGAGGACCCCATTTCTCACCGGGTTCTGTACAAGCAAAGCTGGCATTCTTTCCTTTCTATTTTTTTTTTTTTTTTTTTTTTTACAGACAGGAAGGGAGAGGGATAGAGAGTCAGAAACATCGATGAGAGAGAAACATCCATCAGCTGCCTCCTGCACACCCCCCACTGGGGATGTGCCCGCCACCAAGGTCCACGCCCTTGGCTGGAATCGAACCTGGGACCTCTCAGTCCGCAGGCCGACGCTCTATCCACTGAACCACACCGGTCAGGGCGAGCCCGGGTTCTGACACCACCCCGAACTTCAGCTGTGTCCTGTGTGTCCTCGGGTCGGTACCGGGCCAGCAGAGAAACACCCTGGATGCAGGATGGATTCTAAATCCCGTCTTCATTCGCCTAGAATGAGCCCACCCAGCTCTCTCGCACCCATGGGAAAAACAAAACAAAACACACCATTGATTCTGCTCTTTGTACACACCCTCAGAGGCCCCATCCCCACTCCTTTATCCTCATGTGCCCCTGGCACTGATCTCCTGGAGGAACTCCTGCTTTGTATGAGTAACAACGGACTTCCTGGGGAGAGTCCATGCCACCGGAATGCCAACCATCGGAGAGCCATCCCCCTGGCCAGTTTGGCTCCGTGAACGGAGAGATTCTCAGCCTGCGGGCTGAAGGGTCCCGGGTTCGATTCCCGCCAAGGGCACCTGCCCGGGGTGGCTGGCTGGCTGGCTGGCTCCATCCGTGGGGGGCGTGCAGGAGGCAGCAGATCCGCGATTCGCTCTCATCACGGATGTTTCTGTCGCTCTCCCCCTCTCCCTTCCTCTATGAAGTCCATTTAAAATACTTAAAAAAAAAAATTCACACACACACACACACACAAATACAAGACTTCTTGTGGATTCCATTGTAGTCACTCACCCCAGACGTCTGAATCACTGTCTCACAGAAACCAAGCCCACAACGCACTAGCAGCCTAGCAGCCGTTCCCCAAATAATCACCCAAACCAATGAATGGACTGCAGGTAGCCTTCGCCCAGGGATTTCAAAACAAACAAACCTGGCAGGCGGAAAAGAGGGCGGGGTGCAGAGCATTCCTGGCCGCTGGGACGGGTGTGACCTTGTGCAAGTGAAGGCAGGCGATTTGTCCCAAACATCAGATTTTGCCCCCGGCCAGTGTGGCCCAGTGGTTTGAGCACGGACTTACGATCCAGGAGGTCCCGGTTCGACTCCCCATTAGGGCACATGCCCAGGGTTGTGGGCTCTATCCCCAGTGGGGGGTGGGGGTGGGGAAGGGGGTGGGGAGCACGTACAGGAGACAGCCCACCCTGATCCTCTCTCATCCATGATGTTTTTTTCTCTCCCTCTCTCCCCACCCTCCACTCGCTTCCTCTCTCTCTGAGAGCAATAAAAGTATATTTTTAAAAACAAAGCATGCCCAGGTGGATAGAGACCCGGCCTGCGGACGGGAGGGCCCCAGGTTCGATGCCGGTCAAGGGCATGGATCTTGGTGGCGGGCACATCCCCAGTGGGGGGGGGGGGGTGCAGGAGGCGGCTGATGGATGTTTCTCTCTCATGGATGTTTCTGACTCTCTATGCCTCTCCCTGCCTCTCGGTAAAAAATCAATAAAATATATTTTAAACACACACACACACACAAGGCCAGAAGCACTGAGCACACTCTCCAAGACAGACTCCAGGCCCATGGGACCCACCTAGCAATACCTCCGGGCAGGTGGACAAGCCTCGCTCAGCCCCACCCAGCCTCCCTCCACCTCCACCAGCTGCCCCCGGGGCGCAGGGCGGGCGGGCCACCCCAGGGCGGCCACCCGGGGTGTGGGGTGCTCCTCCACCCCTGCCCGCCCCGCTGGGCGCCTCCTGCCTGGGAGGCAGGTGCACCCCGAAGTTTACGGCCGGCTCCCCCTCTAGAAAGTTGAAATCCGCTGCATCAAGGCGCCCCATTTTGCCAGATCCCCACATGCCCTCACCCCTCCTCCTCCTCCTTCTCTTCTGGGGAAAAAAAAAAGCCACAAAAAACAAACAAAACCGGCCGGGCCTGTGCGTCCAGGTCACCGCCAGGAGCAGAGTGATGTCACCCGGCTCCCTCCCCCCACCCCAGGTGGAAAGAAAGGAGCCCCCAATCCCAGGCATCAGCCGGGATCCGCGCTCTCGGGAAGGTCACCCCGTTATCCCTCCGGCGGGATGGGTGCGGGGAGGGCGCCCCGGGAAGCCGGAGTTTCCCCGCATCCCGGGGGCCAAGGCCGGGCCAGGCCAATGCGGGCTCCATCCCGCCACACCGGCTGGGGACCGGGGACCCAGAAAACAGGACGGAGCCCAGGAAGCCCCTCTAGCCACCCAGGCCCAAGGTTTGGGGGGTGAGGGGGTCACTTCCCGAGAGTTCCCATGGCCAACTCCCAGCTTCCGGCTCCCCAGCCCGGCCGGGGCCAGTCCCCTGCGAGGGGAGGTGGCCCGGGTTGGAAAGGGCGCATCGGGGGGCGCAGGGGGCGCGTGGGGGGAGCGCAGAGTCGTGCGCAAGGCCAGGGGGACCCCCGGCCGGTGGCCAGTCCCCCAGCGAGGGGAGGTGGCCGGTGGCCCGGGTTGGAGAGGGAGCCTCGGAGGCTCGGAGGGTGCGGGGGGCGCAGGAGGCTCAGGGGCGCGCTCCAGGGGGCCCCCGGGCGATGGGCGGGGGGGGGGGTGCGCAGGTGGCCGGGGTGGAGAGGGCGCATCGGGGGGCGCGGGGGACAGGGGCGAGCGCCGGGGGGGCCCCGGGGCGGCCGGGGCCAGTCCCCCAGGGAGGGGAGGTGGCCGGTGGCCGGTGGCCGGGTTGGAGAGGGCGCATCGGGGGGCGCAGGGCCGGGACGCGCGCGGGGGGGCCCCCCTCTCCCCCTCTCCTACCGGTGGTGGACAGCACGGTGCTGGCGAAGAAGAGCGCCGAGGTGAAGTCCCAGTTCCAGCGGCCCGAGGCGTTGCCGAGCGCGGACACGCCGTAGTTGCTGGCCTCCAGCACGCGGCCCAGGAAGCGCTCGAGCTGCGGCTCGGCCAGGCAGGCGTGGCGCTCCAGGAAGCGCCGCTTGAGCTGCCGCAGCTCCTGGCGCAGCAGGTCCTCGTGCGGCAGCTCCACGGACGAGAAGACCACGGCGCCGAACACCAGGTACAGCAGGTAGCCCAGCACCAGCAGCGCGAAGCAGCAGGCCGGCCGGTGCCGCTGCGCCAGGCGCCCGCACGCGCTGCCCGCCAGCGACTGCAGCATCGCGCCCGCCGCCGCCGCCGCCGCCCGGCGCCCGGAGCCCGAGCCCGAGCCCGAGACCGAGATCGGCTCCCGCGCCGCCCCGCCCCGCGCTTTCCCCGGTCCCGCCCTCCTCCCCCGCCCGCACCGGCGACCGAGATCGGCTCCCCGCGCCGCCCCGGGCCCGCCCCTGGGGCCCGCCCTCCCGCGCCGCCCGCCGCCCCGCACCCGGCACCGGGCGATCGGATCGGCTCCCGCGCCGCTGAGCCCCGCCCCGGGCCCGTCCCCGGTCCCCGCCCTCCTCCCCGCCCTCCTCCCCGCGCGCCCCTCCTCCCCGCGCGCGCCCCTTCTCCCCGCGCCTCCCCTCCCCGCGCGCCCCCCTCCCCGCGCCCGCACCCAGCGATCGGCTCCCCCCGCCCCGCCCGCAGCGGCCAGCCCGCGCCCCGATTGGCTGCTCCAATCGGAGGTGCTGGGGGCCCCCCTTTCCGGCTTCCTGCGGGGCGCCCAGGGGCGGGAGGTGGCGCTGACGTGGTGCCGGCGGCGCAGGTAACCCGAGCGCCCGGGACCGGCCCCGCCAACGTGGCCCGAGCGCACGCTGCCAGGCCGGGCGGGGCGGCTCCTCCTCCCGCTCCGCTGGGCGCAGCCAGAGGACCGGTGTGGGCCCCGGGGGGGGGGGGGGGGGGGGGGGGGGAAGGTGCCTGCGTGTGTGTGTGTGTGTGTGTGTGTGTGTGTGTCTGTGCATGAGCATCTGTGTGATTGTGTGTCTGTGCGTGAGCATGTGTATCTGTGTGATTGTGTGTCTGTGCATGAGCATCTGTGTGATTGTGTGTCTGTGCATGAGCATGTGTATCTGTGTGATTGTGTGTCTGTGCATGAGCATCTGTGTGATTGTGTGTCTGTGCGTGAGCATGTGTGTCTGTGTGATTGTGTGTCTGTGCATGAGCATCTGTGTGATTGTGTGTCTGTGCGTGAGCATGTGTGTCTGTGTGATTGTGTGTCTGTGCATGAGCATGTGTGTCTGTGTGATTGTGTGTCTTGCATGAGCATCTGTGTGATTGTGTGTCTGTGCGTGAGCATCTGTGTGATTGTGTGTCTGTGCGTGAGCATCTGTGTGATTGTGTGTCTGTGCACGAGCATGTGCATCTGTGTGATTGTGTGTCTGTGCATGAGCATCTGTGTCTGTATGATTGTGTGTCTGTGTGTGAGCATTCATGTGCATCTGTGTGATTGTGTGTCTGTGCATGAGCACGCGTGTGTGCATGGGCATGTGTGTCTGTGGGGCTGGGCTCCCCCGTGCACACTCTTGTGAGGGAGTGCACGGGCATGTGTTTGCTCATACGTGTGGACGTGTGCACGTACGTGTAGGCACGTGTGCATGCGGGGTGTGTGTGCACCTGCGGGACGGTATGTGTGTGTGTGTGTGTCTGGGTGTGTGTGAGTGCCTGCAGGAGCGTTTCCGTGTGTGCACGTGAGGGAGCGTGCAGTGCCTGTGAGTGTGCCTGGAGGTGTGTGTGCACCGTTGTGGACTCGGATAAGAGTGTGTGTGTCTGTGTGCCTGCTGTCCAGGCCCCGGTCAGACCCTCCTCCTTCCTCAGGAGTCACTATTGCAAACAGGGAGTCCTGGGGCCCCCATCACGGGGGTGCAGCCCCAGGCACCCCCCATTCCCACCCTCCACAAGAGGCACCGAGAGCCCCCCTCCCCCCCCAGGAGAGTGTGGAAGGTCCCGTTGGGGAGCTCTCCCTCTTTAAAACATGAAGAGTGAAAAAATGAAAAAATAAAAGAAATAAAACATGAAGTGGTGTGCCAGCTGCCAGGGGACCTGAGCTTTGCCAAGGGCTGTGTCCTGTTCAGAGGAGCAGGGCCAGAGCCACCTCATGGGGAGGGGTGGGGGGAGAGGACCTGGTGCCCCTTTCCTGGAAAGGCGATTTCACAACAATGGGGCAGTTTGTGTGCTCTGCCTCCAGGGGGCGCCCGAGAGGCAGAGGCCAAGATTTATAGACAAGACTCCATACGGAGTGGCCAGATGATGACCTCTGAGCGCATCATCATCTGGCCGCTCAGTGTCTGTCCTATAGAATAAAAGGCTAAAATGCAAATGGTCCCCTGGACCAGGAGTTCGACCAGCAGGCAGGCCGGCCAACCGCCCATGTCCCCTCCCCCCTGGCCAGGCTGGCTGGACCCCACCCATGCACGCATTCATGCCTGCAACACACACACACACACACACACACACACACACACACACAGAGTGGCCAGATTATTACGCGTTCAGAGATCATCATCATCTGGCCTCTCCATGTCTATGCATATTACACGTAGAAAGGCATTGTGGGGGGGGCCAGGTTACCACAGCTGGGATCCCCAGCTTGTATGTCTGTGCACGAGCAGGCGTGTGCGCCTGTGTGATTGTGTGTCTGTGCATGAGCATGTGTGCCTGTGTGATTGGGTGTCTGTGCATGAGCACGCGTGTGTGCATGGGCGTGTGTGTGTCTGTGAGGCTAGGCTGGACATCAGCTACACCTGAACCCAGCTCCTCTGTACCCCAACTCCCCTTGAAACCCCGAGACCAAAAGACGGAGAAATACCCGGCTCACTCAGCATCAACCATCTTTATTAACATGTGCTTTCTAGTGGGATACAGCTCAAACGGTTGCCGACGACAGTCCGTCCTCAGGGGTCGATCGGAGCTGCTGAGCAGGGAGACCGGCCATCAAAACAAATTTATAAAAAAAAAAAAAAAAATAGACGTGTGTAAACATCTTTTTCACGCGCGAGGCTTCATAATACAGCACGGAGGCCCAGGCCTCACGTCTTGGCAGGGGGAGCACCTTCATTGTTCGCCAACAGGAATTGGGGTTCATTTAGCCTTCAGGGCGCTACGGGGCGGGGGGCGGGGGGCGGGGGCTGCAGCAAAATAAATAACAGTGAGATCCCGGGGAAGATAGAGCGATCTGCAGAGACGCGACAGCGGGAGCGTCTCTTATAATCGTCTCTTTAAGTGGCTCCCCTTCTAGATTCATTCAAAACAGATTTGACTAAAATAGAGCCGAACGGGGAGCCAGCCAGCATGGCTCAGTGGGTGAGCGTCGACCCAGGAACCAGGAGGTCAGGGTTCGATTCCCGGTCAAGGGCACATGCCCGGGTCGTGGGCGCCATCCCATGGTGGGGGGCGTGCAGGAGGCAGCCGATCCATGATCCTCTCTCATCATGTTTCTCTCTCTCTCTCTTTCTCCCTTCCTCTGAAATCACCAAACAGATGTATTAAAAAAAAAAAAAAAAAAAAAAAGAGAGCCGAAACCAGTTTTGCTCAGTGGATAGAGCATCGGCCTGCGGCGGACTGAAAGGTCCCGGGTTCGATTTTGGTCAAGGGCATGTACCTTGGTTGACCGCACATCCCCAGTGGGGGGCGTGCAAGAGGCAGCTGATCAGTGTTTCTCTCTCATCGATGTCTCTAACTCTCTATCCTTCTCCCTCTCTGTAAAAAAATCAATACAATATATTAAAAAAAGAAAGAAAGAAAGAAAAAAGGGCCTGGAAGATGGGGACAAGGCAGACGGGACACCCATCACCCCCCTTCTCTCCCCGCCCCCCACTCCTTTGGTAGAAACAAAACTGAACGTGAGGTTTCTCTATGCCTCTTCTAAGAAGGAATCAACGCCCGCCCGAGAGCAAGCCGCCTTGGTGGGGGGACGGACGGTGACAAGCACCTGCCGAGAGTCCACCACGAGCATCTTCAACCACCAGGCTGTTTCCACTCAGGGGAGAATCCAGAAGGAAAGGAACGGGGAAATAACTGCGCCGCCCCTAAATGCCAACAGACGTGGCAAGGTTCCCTCCAACTGTATCTGGGACGATGCGGATAAGGAGGCGTTTAAACAGAGGAAGACGACACGACGGGAATGTGCATGACACGACAGGTGTGTGCGTCTTTAAAGATGCTGCTCCAAGAGGGAAAGGCTTTCCCATTCATTGCGGAGGCCGGTCCCAGGGGCACACACCGCGCTGAGCGCAGCGCCAATCGGGTGAACATCTGCTTTGGACGCCAAACGGGTAAAATTTTAATAAGTCACGTTCAGGAGATTCTCCTCCGACGGAGAAATAGTGCAAAGTTCGGGTGAGAGTTGGGTGTGTTGGTGCATGGTAACCTTACCGTTGGGTCTAGGCCCCTTACATGGGATTTTGTATCTATGCTAGTTACCATTGTTTTAAAAAAAAAAAGTAGACACCTTTGCCTGGCCAGTGTGGCTCAGTGGTTGGACATCCACCTATAAATCAGGATGTCAGGGTTCGATTCCCGGTCAGGGCATGTGCCCAGGTGGGTGGGCTCCATCCCCAGTGTGGGGCGTGCAGGAGGCAGCCGATCCATGATTTTCTCTCATCATGGACATTTCTCTCTCTCTCCCTCTCTCCCTTCCTCTCTGAAACCAATAAAAAAAAAATATATATATATATATATTTTTTTTTTAAATAGGCACTTTTGCTTACGAACAGCACATTCTTCTTCTTGGCTTTTTGTTGCACCAAAGAGAGAGAGTTTAGAGAGAGAAAGGTGAGAAGAAAGGAGAAAGGAGAGGGAGAAAGGGAGAGGGGAGGGGAGAAGAAGGGAGGGAGGGAAGGGGGAAGGAGGGAGGGGGAGGAGAGGGTAGAAGGGGAGGACAAGGTGGCCCACCCCTTCCTGCATTATCAGCTAACAGACAGCGGACACACGAGCAGCAGAAGGAAAACTTGTGCTTCCCTAACACTTCCCAGTGGAGCCGTGCGCGTGGCGTGGCCACACGCTTCCACACGCGTGTGTTTCAAGTCACCAGGCGGGGATCCGGCGGCAACCCCATCTCCTTGGACGTCCATGACTCTGCCAGACCCAGCGGCAGGAAACCATGCAGAGGCAGATGCAGAGTTTTAATTAAAAAAGGGGGATATGTTGGAGCCGCGTAAGGCACTAGGACAGGAACTCCTTCTCCAGCTGGTGGACTGAGGGACGGCCGGTTTCACTCTTCACCGGCACAGGGGCGGCGTGCAGTCC